TACATAAACTTAGATCTGCTTTTTGTTCTTGGTCAGGGTCAGGATCAGGGTCGATATCCATCAAAAAAACTCAAACGAAAAGACCATCGGTCTTCTCTATTTCAACTGCAAGTTAAAATGGCGGACCTGTATTTTGCTGCAAAAAACCGCTGACCACGAGAGCCTCGTTTTCAAGCTTGTGGTTATTATTTCATCAAATTCTTAGTTTAAGAGCCAATAAGCTTAGAAAATAGTTATTATTTCATATGGCTTCATTTTATTATATTGTTTTAGAACACAACACAAGAAAAACTGAGTTTATGAAAAATGTTATTTTTAAATCATTGATGATAGGAGATATAGCCTCTTTTTCATGTCTTTAATCAAGTGATAAAGTGGTACAAGGTTTCAGTCTTTGACGTGAGAAAGTCTATGAAATGTTTCTTCTTCATTATAACTTACTTTTGTAGTGATATTTTGAAACAATTTACGAAAAAAGGGCACATTTTGGATTTAGCCTCGTTTTCATGCTTTAGGTCACATGATCACAATTTCCAGCTAAAAGTGTGTGTAATGCAAGAGTAAAGCTATTCTAACAATTTGGTGATGAAATATTGACATATAAGAGGGAATAAAGACGATTTAAGATGTAGCCTCGTTTCCATGCTAATATTGTATGAGACGTGTTTTAATCCCCCGCGAATCGTGCCGGTGCGGGTCACAAAGTTGCCGACAACATTTTTCATGTTCACTAAGGTCCCCTCAACCTATCTAAACCAGTGGCTTGCTTTAAGCATTAATTTCCCACGGGACTTAATTTTACGACACTTGCTCCCTGACTACATGTTAAATATTGCCGTCGAAAGTGAGTAACGAACTTAAGTTTTTGTTGTCCTGAAAACCTATCCCTCATTTTTGAATTATTTCAGTATGATGAGCTTCGCTATTGCCCTGAAAGTATCTTTTCGTGGAAGAAAAATAGTTTTTCTGTTCATGGAAAGGGTCCAAATTTTTCCATGTGGCTTCGTTTGCGAACGCGAGGAAAGTTAATGTTGGTGAATTTCAGTTTAAAAATTAGGGCAGTCTGAGACTCCGACATTGAAAACCGATCTTCTAATTTTTCTCACAAATAAAAAGCTTTCGGCAGAAACAATCTACTTTCGGTTTCTTATCTACCTAAAAGCTATCTATGAACAAAAAATGAAAGAAATTAATTTTTGAACTCTTGCCACGAAATTAAGATTTTGGTCGATTTTTCCTGACCGACGCTCTTAAACTTTTTGTTAGACCCTAACGTATTTTTCTATAGCTTTGAACTAAATGTTTTGAGAGAAGAAATTAAGCTCAACTGCAAACCCGTGGATGAAGATCCTGCTGAAGTGTTTTCAAACTTTTCTTCAATTTCAATTGGTCTAAAGTTTAAAAGTAAGCACACGTTTTCATGAGTTCGATTTGGCTTATATATATTTATATATATATATATATATATTTATAAATTGCACTTCAGAGAATGGTCTTAAAACATAAATTGCTTTATTCAAACCCAACGCATTTAGGCTTCTGCCTTCATCAGGGTTTCTGCTTCGGGTATAGTTGCAAATGATGAGAGTAAATTACTGTGACATAATAATGGGAGTGATTTGGTAATCATGTGTCAACTAGTTTTGGACGTGATATTTTAGCGGACTAGAGCACAAGGCTCTTTATAACTTATGTTTTTAAACATTATTAATGTACGTAGTACTTTAATATATAGATTTGGCCAGAAGCTCTGGTTAATAATGCTTATAAACAAAAAAAATTAATGCTAAACGTGGACAGCAATAAAAATGGCACCAAGATCAATAGATCTAATTAGCAAAAAAACAAATTGCACGTGCAGTACGCTTTTTTCTAATTAGCAAAAAAAACCAAATCAGCTCCTGTCGTGGTGCCCACTCCTGGCGTTTTGGTTCTCATTTTGGCGCTCACAAGTGTATCTTGGAGGCTTTCAGGTCGTCTGTATGCTATTAATGGTGGTTCGTGAAAAATGCGAGGTAACCTTTCCTTTGATTGGAGGAAGTGCCAGTGTCTATGCGCTCTTTCGGCAATAAATGTGGTATGGGGATTGTGAGTACTGGGGGAATATGACTAATCGTTCCCCTATCCCTGGCGCGCAAACTCTCTTCCTGTGTGAGGGAGAGAACTTTTCGCATATTGGTTAGAATTCTTTTACGTTTGTGGCTGCAAGCGACAAAAAATTAGAATATTCCATTATCCTCTGTTCTAGTAGGTCGTTTGATGAGCATATCCTCCTAAGTCTTAAGACCTGGCTGTAGGGAATGTTGTATTTCAAATGTGGCGGATGCACCGAGGTCCAGTGTAGGTATGGGTGGGTGTCGGTGGGTTTCTGGTACAAATCTGTGTTGATGTCACCCATAGAAATCTTTATCACCTTAGTATCAAGAAAGTTCACAGAACTGTAGGAGATTTTGTGCGTGAATGTAATTAGTGGTACCACGCCATTGAGATACTCTATAAA